TTTCCCAAAAGATGAGGAACTCTTTCAGCCTGCAGTATTTTTATTTTTTTCAATGATTTTTTCTTTCTTCATTTTGCAATATATACATATACATAACACATAGTTTTGAAATATTAACTTCTGGGGTGCAAATAGCCATCTCATTTGTCGATCTTTGTCATCCAAGCGTGTTAACTTTTCTCTAACTACATTAGCCCACTTCCCTTTTTCAAACCTTTCCGCTTGTCTATTTCTTGCGTTAATGATGAATTTTGTCCTATAATTGTCATGCATTTGTCATTCTCAGGTGATCTCACTGGGACAAAAATCTCCCTTTTCATCTCATTCTATAGTTCTACCATTCTCATCTTTGAGGTATTGTTTTGTGGAATTTATGCTCTTACTAAGGTGTGCTGTTTCCAGGAAGCAATTTTTAGACTATATCATTGACTCAAAAATTTGAAATTTTTCTTTTTGGTGAAACCCTAAGATTAGTTGGGCAGGAACTACCTGTTAAGAAGCTCATCTAGGGCATTACTTGTATGCCTTTATCTCTCTAGAGAGGCCATATAGGAGTCCTTTCCCCCAATTCACCAGCTATTCTTGCATAATTTCTTCTCCTATGCCTCATCCATGTGGGAGAAGAAGGATACCCTAAAATGATGAGACTATCACTCAGTTTGCTACTCTCCAGATTTGAGAATAATACTGGAATTCTTAGGAACTTGTCAGCTCACCAGTAAAATTCTAAGAGTCTTCCTTGGTTAGTTACTGGAGGCATGCCACATCTCTCTCTCTCTCTCTCTCTCTCTCTCTCTCTCTCTCTCTCTCTCTCTCTGTGTGTGTGTGTGTGTGTGTGTGTGTGTGTGTGTGTGTGTGTGTGTGTGGTTACTGTTGAATGCCATGTCTAGTGGGTTGTATTTGTTTACCAGCTTATACCTTCATGGGGCCCACTTCAGTAGCCACCAGTGGTCAGGAACTATGTCTGCAGTACATCTTCCCATCTATCATCTCCAAACTCAAAATCATCATTTAGAATATTTTTTAAATTCAGAATTTTGCATTCTTTCAGACATCCGAGGGCTTTGTAGGACGTTCTTACTGAATGGACACATTTCTCATTACATTACCTGCCTGACCCTCAGAAATGTGACATCCTCACCGTGCCCCTGTTGCCAGCAGCCTTACTTATGAATCATTTTATTTTTCAGTCCCATCAAATATTCCAACTGATAATAGACTCAAAGGTGAGATGGCATGAGTTAGAAAATAGCAATTACAGGTCATACAAGAAGTGATTCTAACACAATGGTAGCTTTCACAGATATCCTCATAGAGTCTACCTTTCAATAGACACAGTTGACTATTGGATCCAGAATAGTACATTTCTTCAATATAACACACCAAGAGACAATAGACTCTGGAAAGGTGAAGACACGTCTTAATAAAAAAACTCAAAATTTATGCTTAAATGTTTTTATACCATTAAAAATATGACTACATAGTGATTTTTTCTTTATTTTAATTATATCGGACAGCAATTCCTTCATAAATTGTCCAACCCTGAGTGGACATCCCTGCTGTCCAACATGGTAGGCAATGTGCCTGGCAACAGGAAAATACCCCTCACTGTGCCAATTCCTGCTGACAGACCTGAGTCAATATTTGTCCATGGTCCAAATATGCCGCAAAAGTGGAGATGCACCTGGCAACACTTGTCACCTTTAATGGATTTCAAAATTCGATATTGTAGAATACTTTAAACTAAGACAGTAGCAGGCCATGTGATACACGCTGACCATTTTACTGCTCCCTAATGTTTAGCCTGACCGTCATTCGGAAAACATGCAACTATATACAGCTGTTGCAACGCAATTACCTATAAGTTCTCTGCACAAAATAATATACTTTAATACATAAGATTTAACATAACAATAGCAACGACAAATATTATCTTGAGACATTGCTATCACAACTGCATGATAAAACTAACTTTTAAAAATAACTAAACTCGCCGGGCGGTGGTGGCGCACGCCTTTAATCCCAGCACTCGGGAGGCAGAGCCAGGCGGATCTCTGTGAGTTCGAGGCCAGCCTGGACTACCAAGTGAGTTCCAGGAAAGGCGCAAAGCTACACAGAGAAACCCTGTCTCGAAAAACCAAAAAAAAAAAAAAAAAAAAAAAAAAAAAAAAAAAAAAAAAAAAAAAAAAAAATAACTAAACTCAATAAGTATCTATCAGAGTTTCACAGTGTGAGCACATACTCTCCAGCCTATTTGTGATTATTATATTATGAGATGTTTCACAGAACACACACATACAAACCTACTCTGAGACACAGTCATAATTCACACAAGGAAAAGATTTCATTCTTATTAAAGAAAGATACTCAAAGAAATATCAGATTTATAAGAAAATTAACAAAATGATTATGGAACAAAAATATATTTCCTCATGGGCAATTCAACTGTTCTGGATTGTTTGGCAAGACTGGAGAGCCGTGTTTGTCCACTTGAAATAATACCAACATCCACGACACTTTGCAGATGTGCCTACACACGTGTGAACCCCATGGGAATGCTGAGACCAGTGGATGCACATTATCTGTGATTATGTGAGGATGAGCAAGTCAACTGCACAACTAGCTGGCATCAGGCCACGAACAGGAGTCCTCGGACAACCCTCTACCTCCGGCACTGCCGCAGCGGCTGTCCTATCGGCCAGTCACTGCACACTTCTTATCCTGGAAGCAAAACCAGGTCAGTGGTCCAAGAGAGATGAAAGCAAGATCTGTAACTCTATCAAGACAAACACATCTCTGATTTAGTAATGAGTCCAAAGGGAAAAAAAAATAATCTGGCAAAGGCTCACCAGGACCAACCATCTACTCCCTAATTCTACCACTGTGGGTCTAAGTTTGCTGAGGGTACAACAGCTGAGGTGATTTGCAAACCAATTAAAAGAGAAGCATCAGGGGCAGAATCCAAGCTTTGTGTCTTGGAAAATGTGCTTGGTTTCTCTGTGATACAGAACCAGTGCTTCAGAAATAAAATGCATAAAAAGATTGGGCAAATGAAATTTAAAGTTTATGCTTATGAAGCAAAATAAAATACCATAGTTCTTCATAAGAAGGATGTAATTAATGTTCTTTCTAACTTTTACAAACAAGAACAACTTAGATCTTCCCTGTTTGTACCAGACAGACTGTCGGGCCAACACGGAGCTACATCACTCCTCTTCATTTATGGCTGGTCCCTGGATATTGCCGCAGGTGGGACTAGCAGCAAGGCAATCTCAAGGCTTCCAGTTTGAAAATCTTGTTATGTTGCACACTCATCTTTCAATGTCAGGTAAATGACAGTTGGTATTTGAGTCAAGTTGTACGATTATCAAAATCATGGAAAAAGAGCAATGCTTGAAAACACACTTGTGGCTGGCTCAGTGTCAGCTAAAAGTCGTTACTTGCAAGACACGACTGTGTTTCTATTATCTCAAAGAAATATAACGACTGTACACAGAGATGAAGACTAAAAGGATATCGTGGTACTGAAGAGATAGTTGAAGCAGTTATTTCTAATGTGTTCAGGGACATTTCACAAATGTGATGCTAAGTGCACAGCTCTAGCCCAGGCACACCGGCTGGCTCCTCCCGGAGCCCTTGTCCACTTCGACCCAGAATGATAATAAACCATGGATGTTTTGACAAGTTCACTTTTGTTAAATAGAGACTGCTCATGAATATGATTTCCGTGACATTGGTGTAGAATGCAAAATTTTGCAAAACTGACATATATTAGGATTCCATAAAAAGACTGGGTAAACCGAGGATCTGAAAACCATCTCACTGAGCAGAGCTTTGCCCAGAACTGGCTTTAAACAGGACCCACAGATGGGAATGTGTGTGGGCACTGACGCCAACTCCATGCCAACCTGTGGAATATTCCTTCCCCACTTAAGTGTACTAAGTCAGGGCTGTTTTACAGGGCAGCCTTATTGGGGATCTAGGCAGCGATCTGTAACGAGATGAAGCCCACAGTGGGACACAGACCGTCAAGGAGGAACTAACTCTAAAAGAGTTTAGGCTACAGCACTGGGAGAAGGGCAGGAGCAGGGTGACAAACGCCTTATGAACTAGTTACAGGAAACAAGTAACAAAGAGCAGTAATTAAAGTCGATCAGACTGCCTGGAGAGTATGAACTTTCAATAGAAGTAAACTGAGAAGTGGTCAAACCTGTCTCCCATGAATATATCCCTGAGAGTTCAAGCATGTCAGAACAACTACCAACTAGAATTTGACAAAGCATTGCACCTGCTTCTAACACCTCTCTCTCTCTCTCTCTCTCTCTCTCTCTCTCTCTCTCTCTCTCTCTCTCTCTCTCTCTCTCACTGGCTGTATGCATGCATGCATGAGTGTATGTGCCACGACACCTGCCTGGCAATGCTAGACTCCCAAGTGTTTGGGGGTAAATTAAAATAAGCATCTGGTAATAATTCTATTTCATCCAAAACAGATTCACTTCAAACTTGAGAGAAAAAGTCACATTAGGGAAAGAATAAAACTACCTGAGAACTCCTCAGACACACACTTCAGAAGGTAGGTCTATAAATAGTTGTGCTGTGTATGCACACTGAAAACATAAAATCATCCGGCTGGCTGAAGAAGCCCCACCATGAACTTAAAGTCCCACTTCATATGTTTACAATCAGCACAGGTCTCCTCCTCTAGCTGCCCAGTAAGGCAAACACCTTCCTTTTACTTAAGTCAATGTCTTCTTGCATCAGTAGCAATACTTTGCAATTTCATTCAGAAGCAGCCTTCTCTAGACACACTCACAACGTGCAGGGGAAGGGTAAGGAAGGATCTAAGTTAAACCTTTCAGTCGCACCAAGAAGAAAAACATCAACATCACACCGAAAAAGCAATTCCTTAAGCAAGCCGCTTTCCCTTCATTTCCCTACCAGCCTGCCCTCCAGCCTTTTCAAAAAGAAAACAAACATCCCAGCTATAAAAGAGATCATACCTGAGCTGATCATACTGTGCATTCTTTGCTGAGCCAAGAGCTGCTCTCGTCCGGCCACTCCATCTGAGGAAACACAGGAGTCACTCTCGTAAATTGTCTGCAGCATACTCCAGTCACTCTTACTTCAGCTCCATGAAAGATTCATCACTGCTCGGTGCTCTGGTCCCAGGAGCTGCCCTGACTGGTCCTCCCTCCTCCCCAAGGAGAAACAGCAAGCAAGCGGAGGATCAACTTCCACAATGATTTCCTTTCTGCTCAGATGGACATACCCCTTTAAAAAAAAAGACCTGGGCTCTTTCCCCCCAGTTACCAACCTGTGTGCAAAGCAGAAGGAGCAAAGTGGATGCTGGAGCTTGCTGGAGTTTTAGGTTATCCTGGAAACTAAAAGCAGGTGGGCAACAGGAATGTGCTTAGGGGTTATTTCTTTGTGAGAATAAGTAGAAAAATATTAACTCTACCCATGAAGGGCAGAAAGAAAGAAAACAATTAAACCTGGCGCCTAGCTCCCTGGACTTCTAGGGTTTCAAGGAGAGATAGATCCTCATCCTGCAAGGGGCTCCAGAGGGTGTCCTCCTATCTGTCTGTGCCGCTCTCCCTTCCCTGTCTCAGTCTCTCTCAGCTCAAGTTGGCTAAAGCTAGTGATAATCCATTTGCATATGAATCAACAACAGCATGGCCCACAGGCACAGAAATAGAACAATGGTCGGCCTGAGCCAAAAATAGGTCAAGCATGGCCGAGTGATTGGAGCCTGCATTAATGCATTTAAAAATACCCCAGCAAAGCCAGCTGTCCAGCCTCTATCTTTTAAACCATAATTCTCTATTGCAGGGCCTTAAAAGCAATTAACTCTTTCCTTCCTCAACTTGCTTTCCATGCTGGGTTTTCATGCTGGCATCTCACCCCCAAAGAAAGGAAATCAAGAAAAAAGAAGAATCCTAACCCAGAGAGGGAGAATGCACACACATTTCACTTCATTTTATTTCTGTAGTATGTGTTTTTGGAAGAGAGAGCAGAGAAGTGCAGAGCTGTATTGGCTCTAAAATAACACTGGAAGCTTTTGCTCATAATGTGGTTTCTGCCTCACCCACGCACAGCAATCCTGGTGTTCTATTTTGGTTGCCTGTTTCTCTGGCTACACTGCAGTTGGCTGGAGGACTAGAAGCTTTTCTTCCTTCGAGTTTCAGCACTGACAGGAGATTTAGCAGAGGTAGTTTCTGAAAACAAGCACACCCCAGAATAAAAATTTTATGAAGGTTTGGCTTGTTGTTGTTGTTAACTTTATTTATTTTGTCCATTTCACAAATCCTAATGTTATCTTAGACCACCTATCAATATTCTTGCTTCCAGTTCCTGCTATACTTAAAACAAAAACCAAACTATAGCTTAGAACTGCAATATTTTCCTCTCTTAGTCCCTCAGGCCAGATCTACTACCTATAAAAGAAGAATGTTGATACTTTTTTACGTGCAAAAGATAAGTGAATTCTGTACCTATAAATCAGTCAATCAATATGTTCACTACCCAAGTACAAATGGCCAGTGCCTATTTAAAACTTGGATGGCTGAAATATATACCTCAGTTTTGTACAGAAATAGCATGTCAATAGTGTTTCAGGTCAACACACATTACAGACTTTACCTGTAAGGTAAATGAGATGCACAGCCTCTCAAAAAGGTTTAATAGTCTCTGGCATACATTTATAATAACGAGTCCTCTGCAAAAAATAAATTCAGCATCCCGAGATGGGACACCCACTGGCATCTAATCAGTTCCAAGGATAAATATAAAAGTGATACCCCTCATCATACAAGTTCTTCTTCCTTGTCTGAGGGACTTAGCACTAGCATCAGTCAGCAGGGACAGGGACAGGAAAGTCCCCAGACCAATCAGCAGGTAGAGGACTCTCATCACAGCCAGGCTGTGGGAACCAGGAAAAACAAAGCTGGATACACAGAATTCTGGCAAAGGGAAATTAGGGCAATAATGGCTGGATTCTTTTCCCTGTGTAGATTAATTTCTATCCATTACTCCTCTTCCAGAGAAGGCATTATTTGGACAGCTAACTGACAAACGTGTTAAAACACTTTTTTTAAAAATGTCCTTGGATTTAAGCAAAACAACAAAACCTTAATGTTTCTATCAGTGGGAAATATGTTTCATATTTCCCTTTTAAAAATATGCATGTATAAAATTCAAGAGATGGAAATACTGCCATCTAATAGGGATGCTATACTTGAGTGTCTATTACACGGATGGAGCCCTTTAGACTTGGTGGAAATGGACTGTCCACAATGACTCTATGGGAGCTGCTTCCTTCACATGAGCTGCTCCTCCAATGGGCAGCTGCATGAAGGGATGCAATGCTTTCCGATTATTATGTTTCCTTCTTTGAATATTTATTCTATAGTGTTTTGCACCATAGGATATGTCTCCTTTTATTACTAAGGTTCCATCAGAAAACCTTTTAGACACCCATTCACAGAGATTGTAAAATGATTTTTTATTTATAGTTAAAACTTTTTGTAAAGTACTTATAAATACAAAACATCACACATGAGATGAATCAGACACTCTTAATGAACTTCCATACAGTTAGAACAGCTTTCTGAAGCTGTGAAGCCTCATATTGGATCTTACACTTCTACTATTAATTATATTTTTGTGGATTCATCCAACACACACACACACACAAAAAAAAAAAAAACCTGAAAAATTAATGACAATTAAAACTAGAAAAACAATTAATTAGCATTATATTGGTTTCTTTATTCCCTGTCGTGAGAATTCTGCCATTTGGTCCAATGACTGACTGAGTGGAGCAGTTGGTCCAATAGACATGGTCTTCTCTGAAGAGAAGACCCCTTAAGAACCTTTGGAGAAGGATGGCGTGCTTTCGGGTAGTCAGAGCAGGCCACAAGCCACAGAGAAGCGTGGCTTGCAGTTTGGTTCCCATCTCCCTTGGGCAGAACAGCAGGACAGTGACAGCTGGATCAGCAGCGGCGTCAACCTTGTTCTGTGTCGTGAGTGTATCTTACTGATTTCACCTGTTAATAAACCTGACCTGATCCCAGAACTCCGTATCTCACTACACCTGTCCATGATTTAATGTGTGCACCTAGATTTAATCCTTCTTCACCACCTACTATTTATCTTTTATGTTTCTCCTTTCTACGTGTTATAGTTTAACCACTTGTACATTTGTTTACATATGCACATATTTGTAATAGACTAGATATACATAAGAGAAAAAACGTTCTTTTTCTTTCTGATATTATATGACCTCAATTAAGATCAATTAGTACTTTTTTGTTGTTGTTTTTTTGAGACAGGGTTTCTCTGTGTAGCTTTGCACCTTTCCTGGAACTCACTCTGTAGCCCAGGCTGGCCTCGAACTCACAGAGATCCGCCTGCCTCTGCCTCCCGAGTGCTGGGATTAAAGGTGTGCACCACTGCCGCCTGGCATCAATTAGTACATTTTAAGTTCATGCATTTTTTTTATAATTTTGTGTTTCACTTCTTTAGAGCTGAATAGTATTCCATTTTATATACGTACTTGATTTTTATTACCCATTTACTGGTTGATAGGTAGCTAGGTTGGGTCCATTTCCTTGCTATAGTGGATAAAGCAGCAATCATCATGGGGCGCAGATATCTCTATGGTAGGGCCCAGAGTCCTCTGGGTGTATGCCAAGTAAAACAACTGGGTCTGGGCCACCTTCTAGTTTTATTTTTAGTTTTTTTAAGGAATCGCCAAATTGTTTTCCAAAATGGTTGCATTAATTTGCACCCCCACCAACAGTTCCTTGCTTTAAACAATCTTTCTAGTGTTGGTCAGATTTTTTGATAAACACCATTCTGGCCAGGGTGAGGTAGTATCTTAAAATCATTTCAACTTGCATTTCCTTGATGGCTAAGTATATTAAACACCTAAAAAATTGTTGCCATCTATTTTTGTTTCTTCTTTTGAAAACTCTCTTCCATTCATTAGCCTACTTGTTGGTTGGCACTTGTAGTTCCTTGATACCTAATTTTTGCAATTCTTTTTAAAATTCTGCATCTTAGCCCTTTTGTCTGGTGGATAGCTAGAAGATTTTCTCCCATTTTGTGGTTGTTTGCCCTCTAATAATATTTTCCTGTGCTGTGCAGAAATTTTCTTTATGAAGAATTGAAAACTATTTCACATAGGCAGAGTTGAAAAGACCAATCCACAGATGGGAGGAATTCTGCGCCAACTACACACCTGTAGATGGGTGTTATCTACACTCTATAACGAATTCCAAATGTTAAGTACCAATAAGGCAATTGGCCAATCATTAAATGAATTAATACACTTAAAATAGTTCTCAAAGGAAGAAATAAATTCAGGTAATAAATAGTCAAAAATATCCTTAGGCATCAGGAAAATACAAATGAAAATTGCTTTGATTCCATCTTATCTCAATCAAGATGGATGCCGTCTAGATGACAAGTGTCAACAATGCTAACAAGATGTTTAGACAAAGGAGACCTCACACACCTCAGGTGGGAAATAAAACTAGTGCAGCCAGTATGGAAACCACTGTGGAGTTTCCTGAAAAACTACAACCAGGGCTGTCATTGGAACTCTTACAATACTGCTGCTGTGTATCCAGAGGACTACAGGCCAGCACCAGGCACAGTCACGCTCATTACTGCATTATCTGGATATAGGATCAGTCCAGAGGTCCATCAATATATGAATGGATTAAAAGATAATGGGGTGCATGTGCACAATAGAATTTATTTGGTTATAAATAATGAAGTTATGGCATTTTCAAGAAAGTTTATGGATCTGGATATAATCATCTTAAGTAAACCATGCTAGACTCAGACAAGTATTTCTCATATGGGAAGTGCTGATTTAAATGTATGTGTGTATTTATGTAAGACATACATATATGCATATGTATATAGAAGGCATCAAAATAGAAAGGAAATGTGAGACAGGAAAATGGTATCTAAAGAACAGAGGTGCAAAGAGAGGGAGAGGACAAGAGGATACACATTATATATTGTATACATCATAAAAGCAGGAGGGGAAGGATGGGGAGAGGAAAGAAAACCCCAAGGAATGAAGGGAGGGCAGGAGAGGGGTGAATGAGAAGAAAGTTTGATGATCTATGTGAAAATGTCTCAATGAAACAAACTTCTCTGTTAACCAATGCTTCCGGCCACCCATCACCGCTGCTTTCTCTTCCTGTGTCTCCCTGTGTCTCTGTAACGGAACCATTGGTTCTAAAGAGACCTGAGTAAGGTAGCCCGCACATCTCTAGCATTCATGTTCTCCAGTTACACTATCTTCTCCCTCACCAACGATATAAATATGTTACTTCATATTTCCAGAATAAAGTTTCAAATGAATTACTGATTAAAATGGAATAATTGTCTACTTTTTTCAGGGTGTTTTTAACAGAATACACAAAAATTGTGGAAAAATATGTAAGACAAATAACACAATCATAATATTGGCATAATAGATGCCTACACATCTTTCGTCACTTCATGTTTAATTACACCCACAGACCACAATCGACAAAAAAGATCTCTAAGCTTTTTATAAGCAAAAATAGAACAAAACTCCAGAATAGCAAGTAATTATCCTATTTCTCCAAGGTTCCAGGAAACAGCTGTCCAATGTGTCTTCAGTTGGACCACATTTTATATCTCACCTCTACAGAATGTATTTATTCAACCTTCTTCATTAGCAGTCCTGCCTTCCATGTAAGTCTTGACAACGAAAAATTATTTTAGTGTGAAATTATTTTAGTGTGATAGGCCTATCATATGGCAGTTGAATCTTATCTCCCTTTAGAAAAATAAGCATCATCAAAACTATTACCCTGGAAACTGAGCACCAGGGTTTCATACCAAAAAACTCAACAGTAAGAAATTGAATGTCTCACATCATCTCAAAAATGCTGGTAAAGAAATGCAGCAAAGTTTTTTTTTACAGCTATTCATGAGACAGTTTTATTGATTTTGGGA